CCACTGCCTCCACCTCCACCGCCTCCGCTCCCGCTGCTGCCTCCACCACCACCGCTGGCACTACCACTACCGTCTCCGCCGCTGCTGCCACCACCACCACCACCACCACCACTACTCCCGCCGCCACCCCCACTCCCTCCGCCGCCTCCGCCGCCACCGCCACCGCCCCCTCCAGCTCCGCCCGCGCCCTTGCCCCCCTTGCCCTTGCTAGAGCGACGTCTCCCACTAGGGGCAGACGCCGCGCCGACCGACTCAAGACCAAGCAGGTCGGCCGCAGCAGCAGAGGCAACAGAGGGCAGCAAGGGGGAAGGAGAGCACCCCTCAAAGATGGGGGTGCGAGGGTCACCACGAGAGGCACCTACAGCGACTATGCTCTTCTCCGCTGCGAGGAGGGCCTTCTCGAGGAGGTCGACGGTGAGAGTGGTGGGACAGACTGCGAGAAAGTGGTCCCTGACTACGCGGAGGGAGTCAGGGAGGCGCGCGACTACGTAGTAGAGAGTGATGTACATGGGGGGGGGGTTCTTAGCGCAGAACTCAGCAGGAAGGGCGGCGCGATAGCGAGTGTCACTAGTGCGGAGGTGCGTAATGAGGTCAGTGACAGTGGGAAAGACAGAGAGGTCAGGAAAGAGGTAGGGAAGCATGAGACGGCTCAGTGCAGCAGTGGCAGGGGAGGAGTAGCGCGCAACTACAGCGTCGTACAAGGTCTGAGCACTCTTGTACTGACTAAAGTGCGCACGCTCAGAGGTAGGGAGGTGGCGACGCACAGCAAGACGTGCAGCAGCATCGCGGGTGGCCCACTGAGAGCGGACAGTGGGATCAGCATCGGCAGCAGGAGCAGGAGAGGCGCCAGAGGTGAGGTCAAAGAGAGAAAGGCTGTCAGCTCTGTCGCACTGTAAGAAAAGCTGCAGGTCGTCTAGCCAGACCTCAAAATCAATGGCTCGACCCTCGGCGTCAAAGGCTAGGACACTAGGGGTGGCCATGATGACGACAGCGAAGCAGTGCAAGCAGTAGGGAAAGAGGGCGCAGTGACAGAGGGACTGTGCTCACCAGGCAGGGCAAGTCGTGCAGCTCAGCAGAAAGGCGGATCGACTTCCGGGCAGCTCGGCAGCTGTGGGGCGGCTCGGGTGCTGCTGGGCGGGTCGGCCGCTGCTGGGCGGTCCGGCTGCTGCTGGGCGGCTCGGCTGCTGCTGGGCGGCTCGGCTGCGGCTGGGCGGTCCGGCTGCTGCTGGGCGGCTCGGCTGCTGCTGGGCGGTCCGGCTGCTGCTGGGCGGCTCGGCTGCTGCTGGGCGGCTCGGCTGCTGCTGGGCGGGCCGGCTGCAGTGCAGCGGCGGGGCCTGGACAGAGGCCGGCGGGGCCGGGACAGGTGCAGTGGCGGGCCGGGAAAGGTGCAGCGGCGTGCCGGGACAGGTGCAGCGGTGGGCCGGGACAGGTGCAGTGGCGGGCCGGGACAGGGGACGGCGGGGCCGGGTGTGCAGTGGCGGGGCCGTCAGGGTGCAGCGGCGGGCCGTCAGCAGGTACAGCGGCGGGCCGTCAGGGTGCAGCGGCGGGCCGTCAACAGGTGCAGCGGCGGGCCGTCAGGGCTCAGCGGCGGGCCGGGAAGGTGCAGCGGCGAGGCCGGGAGAGGGGACGGCGGGGCCGTGACAGGAAACGGCGGGGCCGGCAGAATGCAGCGGCGGGCCGTCAAAAAAGGGACGGCGGGGCCGTCAAAAACGGGGCCCGCGGCCGCGACGAAGCAGCCGCGTGGCCGATTCGAGGGCGGCGGGGCACAGCCGGGCCGAGAGGGCGGCGCGGCGCGGCCGTAAAGTCCGCGCGACGTGGGCCCGAGCCGCGCGCGCAAAAAAAAAAATTTTCGCGCGCTACTCGCGGGGGGCCCACAAAGGCAGCGGGAAATGCACTAAGGGGGAGGGGGGGGGGAGCGCGCCTCGGGGAGAGTAGGGCGCTCCGGGCAGAGAGAATATCGAGGGTGGGCCCAAAAAAATCGGTCCTTAAGAGGGACCCGCTCTATACCATGTGAGAATAGGTAAACAGGAATGAAAATGACTAAGTCAGAAATTGGTACAAATGGGAAACCTAATTGTGTTGTACCCCTTATGGGATACCCCACTGTAGCCTACACAAACAGGTAAGCTATATGTTCTGACAGCATCAGCAAGCACGAGGGGCTAATTCGGCTGCCTGCATGGACACCTGACTACATCCAAGCCCCGTGCGTCAAAGCCATCACTATAGCTTGCCACTTCAACAAGGGCGCGCAGCTGTTCGCTGTCCGCTTACGCGAGTTGGCAGTCGACACTGACGGAAAGGACATTGAGAAGCTGTGTGCAGCTGTACCTCCGGATTTAGCGGAGCTGATTCGACAGTACCCCGACATTTTCCCGGACGACCTGCCACCTGGGCTGCCACCCGAGAGACCAGAAGACCATAAAATCCAGCTGGAGCCTCGCGCGCAAGCGACGGTTCGAACACAGTGGCGGTTGACCCAGCCGGAACTCGAGGAGCTGCGCCGACAAATTGACGCACTGTTGGAGAAAGGGTTCATTCGGGCGAGCACCTCCCCGTTCGCGGCACCGATCCTGTTTACTTCGAAGAAGGACGGTGGGCTTCGCATGTGCATCGATTATCGCGCGTTGAACCGGGTGACCATCAAGTCTCGCTACCCAATCCCACGCACCAACGACCTTCTTGACCAGATTCGCGGCGCTCGTTACTTCTCGAAAATCGACTTACGTGGCGGTTACCACCAGATTCGGGTCTTTACCGACGATTGTCACAAGACCGCGTTTCGCACATGCTACGGGAGTTACGAATTCACGGTGATGCCTTTCGGCCTCACAAACGCGCCTTCAACATTCCAACTGACCATGAACACGGTTTTTCGGGATCTTCTAGACTGATGTGTCATCGTCTATTTGAACGATATCCTCATTTTTAGCAAGACACGAGAGCAGCACCTCCGTGACCTGGATGCAGTGTTTAAACGGCTGCAGGAGAACCGACTCATCACCAAGGGCTCTAAGTGCAAGTTTTTTAAGCAGGAGTTGGAGTTTTTGGGGCACGTCATCTCACGCGACGGCATTGAAATCGACCCGGCAAAAATCAAGACCATACAGGAGTCGAAGTCCCCGACGAATGTCACGGAACTCCAGAGTTTTCTCGGATTCGTGAATTACGTCAGGCGGTTTATCCCGAATATGGCGGGGATAAACGGCGCGCTGACCGACCTGCTGCACAAGGACAGGAATTTTGTGTGGGGGGAGGAGGCAGAAGCGGCTTTCCAGGAACTCAAGAACTTTCTAGTTTCCCCTCCTGTGCTGCGCATCGCCGACCCATCGAAGCCGTTCGAAGTCGTCACCGACGCCTCAGATTTCGCCATCGGAGCTGTGCTACTCCAAGATTTCGGGGACGGGTTGCAGCCGATAGCCTACAAATCACGCAAGCTGCAATCGGCTGAACGCAGCGGCCAGCTGGACTGCTGCAACCCCTCGAGCCACCCGAACGACCGTGGCATTAAGTGACGATGGATTTCGTCATGGGGATGCCAGCTGGGCCGTCCGGCAACGACGCCGTTCTTGTCGTCGTCGATCGCTTCACGAAAATGGCGCACTTCGCACCATGCCGAACGACAATCGCAGCCGAAGAAACTGCGCGCCTCTTCATCTCAACAGTCGTGCGACTGCACGGCATCCCTTCGGCGATCATCAGCGACCGAGACCCGAAGTTCACATCAAAGTTCTGGAAGGAGACGTGGGCGCAGTACGGCACGAAGCTACAGTTCTCATCAGCATATCACCCACAGACGGACGGTCAAACCGAGCGGACCAATCAGACCATGGAGCAGCTGATCAGGACAAACTGCCCCGACCCTGCCCGCTAGGAAGACTCGCTCGCAATGTTGGAGTTCGCTTTCAACAACGCACCGTCCAACACGACTAATCACTCCCCGTTTTTTCTAAATCACGGGATGGACCCGACAGTTCCTACGGCAACCACTCTCGACAACCCGGTCCCGAGGTCACAGACTTTCGTGACGCAACTTCAAGAAGTCCGAGAAAAAGCCGCCAACGCAATCCGCAAGGCAAATATTACTTCCCGAAAATACACCGACCTTCTACGCCGGGAACTCGTCTTGACCACTGGGCAACTAGTGCTACTTGACACGAAGAACCTGCACCTGCCCGGCCCGTCGAAACTACGGCCACGATTTTGTGGACCTTTCAAGATTCTCAAGATGGTGACACCTGTCACCGCGAAGCTGTTACTACCGAACGGCTGGCGCATTCAGGACGCCTTCCACGTCAGCCTTCTTCGCAAGTTTGTGCCAGCCACGACCGATATCGCACGTCGGCAAGCTGCCCCGACAGCACGACCTGTGCCGGAGCCGACTCTCGACCCATCGAAGATTTTGGCACATAGGGTCCGCATTGACGCACCTGGACAACACGTGGATTTTCTAATCCGCTGGACTGGCCACACCAGTGAGGACGACACGTGGGTGCCATCCGCCTCGCTCGACGCCTCGCCACTTGTTGGGGATTACCTGGCGCGCCAGCGTGTTTTGGATATTGTCCGCCTTTCTTAAGGGGGGGGGTGGTGTAAGGAATTTTCCTGAATTCCTTATCGGGGTTGACTGCTTCGCGTACAACCCGATTTTCGGAGTTTGCACAATCGGCCGATTTCAACGCTGCCGAGGCTCCTCGCGTCGCCTTCGGCATTTCCATCGCCCAGCCTGCACCGAACCTCGCTTGTCCGAGGTTTCCTCCTAGCTAGGCTAGCCCTACATTAGTCTGTGCATTCATTGTATTCGTAGTTGATTCAGTCACAGCCTCGTTATTCGTTTACCTGCGCACTCTCTTTACAACTCATAACACAGCACCTCCCAGCTACACGCCCCGACTAATGCGAAAACACAACGCAACTAACCCAACATTGAACACCATCGCATGCCACAACGGAAATCAGCCACCACACCGCGAGTACGTTCCTTGCCGCGACGAGCACTCTCAGCTGCGATAAATCTGCCCACAAATGGCGCCGTTGGGGTGCAAGGGGGATGTGACTAGCGCATAGTAAGCGTTGGGCTTCTTGAGAATAGCCCGCATCTCCTTCTCCAGAGTCTTCCCCGACGCCACTGTGATGCCCGACGCGTTCCTCCACTCCCCCGCCACAACGTATTTGTAGACCTTCGTGCCGCGCACGGGCTGCGAGTTGTCCGTTTTGTTCCGCCAGTTTGTAGGGAACTTGATCTGAACCGCGCCGTTGGTGCCGTGGCTGCCGACGTTCACGGTGGCAAGTGTGGGGAATGCGGCCTTGCCGCGCTGCGTGACGTGCACGGAGTAACGCACGTTGAAGATGATGTCTTTCGTCCTGCGCCGCGTGACAGAGGAGCGTGTGAATAGGAATGCGACGGCGCCGAGTACGCGGGGTGGTCGATGCGACGGCGACCAATGCGACGGCGACGAATGCGACGACATGCGACGGTGCGAGCGAGCGATGCTAGGAGGCGAATGTCGGCGAAGGGACAAATGTCGGTGAGGGCAAAACAGAGCACCCACCTGAAAATCGCCCGACCGAAATCGCCCGTCGACTTGGTGTCGCCTGTCCTGCGCGGCACGACCCGGGCGCCATTCATTCTTGCCGACGCGCGCCCTGCGACACGCAACCCAGACATCGGCGAACCAAAGGAAACGACGCATGACGACAGATATCAGCTGAAGGAAGGAGAGTAAAAAGCGCACGGCAAGATGCATGCCAGTGGCATTTGAGGGAACGTTTGAGGGCGGTTTACCGAGTCTCCGACCGGAATCTTCCGCATCGGCGCAAGCGCACGCCGCAAGTGCGAGAAGCACAAGGGTGAAAAGTGGCTTGAAGGCCATCATCGTTGAAGAGCCGAATAATGGAAGCGAGAAAAGGGTGCTTGAGGAAATGCCTGAGCTTGGCCCTGGAGGGGCTCTACGAGGGTTGCAGATCTGTGGTTGTTGAATGAGGAGCCGGTCTAACGCGAGTTTATATAGTACGAGCGGCCTCATTCTACGATGAACCTTCCGGGAGAACTTTCAGGCTGAACCTTCAAGACGAGTCGTGTGTGGCGAGGGGGTATCAAGCAATCACGCTTGGGGAGCTTGTTTGATTGGCGGATGGTGCTTATAGATAAGAAGGGATCCATCGTGGCACGCACGACGATGAACCGCAATGCTGACTGTGCGTGGCGCTTAGCGCCGAAAAAAAAACCACAGGCCTAAGATGGAGACGAGTTGGGGTGGTGAAACAAGGCTACGGCGCAGCGACGCACGGCGCAGCTGGCCTGGCCGGCCTAGCGACTAAGGAGAGGCGCCGTAGCGTAGAAGAAAGAAGAGTAATCGCAGCGGAATAAGAGAAGTCAACGAGAGAGTTGAGAAGAGATTCAAGAAGTGGATTCTGAGATTAGATTAGAAAGATCCAAGGATGAGATGATACAACAAGAACTAGGAAGAGATATTTATGCTAGGAAGAGAGATGGCGACTTGGGAGGAAAACCGCATCGCCACTTTATCTAGCATGGCATCTTGGCATAGCGCCTCGATGCCATGCCCTGCTAGATTCTAGTAACATCTAATCACTGATGAGGATAAGGGAATACGCTCCGAGGTTAGCACCTATCTCTATTCGGAGCTATCTAGGGAAGGGAGGTTCCAACCGTTTGGATATTCCCATGCGCGCTGGCATCGGGAATCCCAACATGTAACAGGTGGGCCTTCACAAATAGTACCACCATGGATGGAAACGACCGTACAATGGTTTGAGCCTCTAGAATGCAAGGTTTTGCGAAAGCACGAATCCTGGTTACTCCCCACCGTCGCCTCGTCAATGAGTTTTGGATTTGTAGAAGAGGGAAGCGGGGACCCCTGCGACTGTTGTAGGTGGCTAGGTAGTGTGGTATGGACTCGGAAATACGCTTCAAAGACCTTCTCGGTTGATATAAATTATGTGACTACGCAGTTTGCTATGGAGCTAAACCTTCCATCTAGTAAACAAATGCTTGTGAGTGCCAGGTATTGCCACAAACATCACACTATATCAAACCACACCCACGGTACCCGAATTACACCAGAGCACCGACAAAGGCGCGCTTATTGCATTACTAGGAAACTTTACAAGCACGCTGAAGCAGACGCCACGGGTGCGGCCATGTCACAGGCGCAACGCTACTAGCTCATCCTACTGCATCGAACACACAAAGCTCAACCCCCTACTGGCCGACTCGTTACAACCAACACACACTGCAAGCACACCATTTGCGGTCACGAAAACAACAACACGCTCAGCCCTTATGGAGCTGCCCGCGAATGGCGCCGTTGGGGTATGAGGGGGACGTGACTAGCCCGTAGTAGGTGCGCGGCGCCTTGAGAATATCCATCATGAGCACATCCAGCGTCTTTCCCGAAGCCGTGGTGATGCTCTCCGCGTTTTTCAGCACGTACGTATAGTACTTGACGCGGCGCCTGGCGGGCTGCGGGGTGACGGTTCCGTTCAGCCAATTGGTGGGGAGCTCGAGCTGCACCGCGCCATTGGCGCCGTATTGGCCGGCGTTCACTGTGGCCTTGGTGGGGAAGACGGCATTACCGACCTGCGTGACTCCCACGGCGTAGCGCACCCAGTACGTGTTTCCGTACCTGCGCAGCCGAGGCGCGGCGCCGCGCGACAAAGGAGCGTTTGTTAGTGCTCAGTGCAACGGTAGCCAATGCGACAGCAGTCAATGCGATGGTACGAGTGAGCGACGCGAGGAGGCGATAGCGGAGAGGGCGAGATAGAAGCACGAGATAGAAGCACGAGATAGAAGCATGAGATAGAAGCATGAGATAGAAGCACGAGATAGAAGCACTCACTTGTAAAGCCCCAGAGCCAGGCTGCCCCACGACTTCAGATCGCCCTTGCTGCCTACAATTTCAGCACCATTCAACGACGTCGCCACGCGACCTGCGAAGAGCAATCAACATGGAATAAAGCGGCCCACCGATAAATAAAGCGGTGCATGGCAAGATGCCAGCGGCATTCGCGGAAGTCGTGTTGAGGCGAGAAAAGACGGCGTACCGATCCACTTGGCGCTCGCGCTAGAGGCGCAAACCAAAAGGACGAGAAGCACAAGCGCGAGAAACGGCTTGAAGGCCATAGCATAGACGGACAGCAGATTGCGAAAGGTAAACGAGACGAAATGAATATAGAAATTGGGTTCCCAAGAACTACGGTATCACGAGAGGATCTTTGTAGTGGGGAGTTTTTGAAAGAGCCGCCCTCACTCCACTCCAACACACATAGACCCCGCCAAATATCTGTTTTCTTGCACGTCAACGGACCGCCATGGTAATTTCGCGGCGGCTCGAGACCAGCGACCAATCACAAGAGCAGAAAAAAGGGGCAACATTCCACTATCTCGACTCACAACAAATCATGGCTCGCTTATGCTGCAAATGCAAAGTGCAAAACAAAGCCATGCTTAAGTATAAATACGGTATACCGTAATCTCCAAAATAAGGAGACAAATGGTTTCCGATTTCTAGGTACAGATTGGTGCGCAGAGAAGACATTACACATGTACTGAGAAAATGGATTTTTATAGCCATCCCTACATCATGCATGCCATTCAGTTTCCCCATTAGGCTACATTTGATCTGCAGCATGCAAACAGCAGTGTCACCAACCTCACTCCTGAAGAAGTAAACTGTTGCCCGACAAGATCTGAAGAAGCGTTATTTCCATCTGACATTACAGCCAAACTCAAAACTCAACCACACCTCATAGCTGCACCTGCTGCCACACAGCTCTTGAATAATCTAATCAGACACACTCACACTCACTCTACAGTCCACATTCACTCTCCCCATAAGCCCACTAGGGACCACCACCACTCCACAACCCCCCTGCACAGAAGCCATCATGATGACTCCCCGTCACGTTGCCACTTCAGCGCAAGCTGAGCTGCTAGTGGGGGCGATGAAACTGGCCGCGAATGGCACCGTCCGGGTGGGAGGGCACCGTCCGGGTGGGAGGGCGCCGTCACAAGCGTGTCAGAACATTATAGCTAATGCTTTTGTGTAGGCTGTAGTGGGGTAGCCCACATGGGGTACAATCCAATTAGGGTTGGTACTTGTACCCAACTCTTTCATAGTGAATTCATTCTCGTTTCTTCTCATGGTATCGAGCAGGTTCCCTCATGGGAACTGTTCCTAGGGCCCACCAAGTCAAAAAAAAAATTCCTGCCCGGAGCGCGCTTCGCTTAGGCCCGAGTCGCGCCTTGGTGCCCTCTCTATCGTCGCGCCCGTCCTAGGCCTCCTTCGGCCCCGTCGCGTCGCGCCTAGCGGCCTCCCTCGCGCCGCCCTTACTCGGCCCGTCGCCACCCTAAGCGGCCCGTCGCCGCCCTTGCGCCGCCCTCACCCGCGGCCCCGTCACCTTACCTGCGGCCCCGCTGCCCCTTCGCTGCAGCCCCGCCACCTTACCTGCGGCCCCGCCGCCCTTCGCTGCGGCCCCGCCACCTTACCTGCGGCCTCGTCGCCTGCTGCTGCGGCCCCGCCACCTTACCTGTGGCCCCTGCGCCCTTTACCTGCGGCCCCACCACCTTACCTGCGGCCCCGCCGCCCTTCGCTACGGCCCCGTCGCCTACTGCTGCGGCCCCGCCACCTTACCTGCGGCCCCGCCGCCCTTACCAGCGGCCCCGCCACCTTACCTGCGGCCCCGCCGCCCTTCGCTGCGGCCCCGCCACCTTACCTGCGGCCCCGCCACCTTACCTGCGGCCCCGCCACCTTACCTGCGGCCCCGCCACCTTACCTACGGCCCCGTCGCCTGCTGCTGCGGCCCCTCCACCTTACCTGCAGCACCGCCACCTTACCTGCAGCCCCGTCGCCTGCTGCTGCGGCCCCGCCACCTTACCTGCGGCCCCGCCGCCCTTTACCTGCGGCCCGCCACCTTACCTGCGGCCCCGCCACCTTACCTGCGGCCCCATCGCTTGCTGCACCGCCGCACCGCCCAGCGGCTGAGCCACTCAGAAGCCGAGCGGCCCAGCACCCGAGCTGCCCAGCAGTCGAGCCGCCCAGCAGCCGAGCCGCCCAGCAGCCGAGCCGCCCAGAAGCCGAGCCGCCCAGCAGCCGAGCCGCCCAGCAGCCGAGCCGCCCAGCAGCCGAGCCGCCCAGCAGCCGAGCCGCCCAGAAGCCGAGCCGCCTAGCAGCCGAGCCGCCCAACAGCCGAGCCGCCCGCGCCGCCGAGCCGCCCGAGCCGCCCTGTCTGGTAAGAGCAGCGCCTCTTTCTCAGCACTGCCCTTACCCTACTGTCTGCGCAGCTGGTCTACTACTAACATGGCTACCCCTAGTGTCCTCGCTTTTGACGCTGAGGGTCGGGCCATTGACTTTGACGTCTGGGTATATGACCTGCAGCTTTTCTTACAGTGCGATAGGGCAGACGAAGTCTCTCTTTTTGACCTCACCTCTGGTGCCTCTCCTGCCCCTGCTACTGATGCCGACGCTACTGTTCGCTCACAGTGGGCCACCCGCGATGCTGCTGCACGTCTTGCTGTGCGTCGCCACCTTCCTACCTCTGAGCGTGCGCACTTTAGCCAGTATAAGAGTGCTCAGACCTTGTACGACGCTGTAGTTGTTCGCTACT